TTAGCCATATTTACATTGAACCTTATGGGGCCATTTGCCTCGTGGTGCGACCCACTTCGGAGGGGGCACGGATTACCCGCATTTACACTGAACCTTATGGGAAAATTTACCTCGAGTTGCAACCCACTCGAGTTGCAACCAGAGTCACGGAACGGATTAAGTTCGTAACTAGAGGTACCACTGTATTATAGAGCTTGACTTGAGCTGAGAAGATACATTATACCGGCTATGAATCTTCAAATTATACAGAGAAACTTGAAACCTACCATATAGGAACTGGGAACACTGAATATATCCCTCTTCCATCTCCTCACATTTATCTGCTGCAGTTTCTATGTCACTTATGGTTGAAGCAAAAATTGCTGCTCCAGATTCAACAAGTAACTTACAGAGATGAACACTGTTGCAACTGGCAGCACAATGCAAAGGAGTCCTGAAACAAAGTAGATATTGGAAACTCAAAATAAGGCAAATAACAGATGCAATCAGATATGCTAAGATGAAACCAACTAGCATCTGGTTGCTAGTTTTTCTTCTCCACTTGTTAGAAGGGTTATTAAATTTTGCTCTTACCATCCATCACTGTCTGCTGCATTCACATTGACGCCAAAATCCAACAAAAATTTAACTATGTGGTGATGGCCAGCACAAACTGCATTGTGTAGAGGGGTGATTCCTTCATCATTAGGTTTGCTGGGATCATCCACCTAGGGAAAAACAAGCATAACTACATGAACTGAAATATTTTTGTTTATTAAAACAAAGCAAAAGAATTTGACCACATTTCCAAGTTTACCTCATATATGATCCTTTGCACTAAATCAAATTCTCCCTCTAATGAGGCATCCAACAGCAGGGCCAAGGGATTGAACTTTACCCTCAGGGTATGACCAGTTCTCTCTGAGTCTGGTTTCTTCAGGTTGGTCCTTTTGGTCTAAACAACAGTGTGAGAGTTATCTTTAAACTACTTCACTGTGACAATACTACTTCATTCTATCTAAATGAAATTTATTCATAAGCTAATGAAGATGCAGTTTTCATTTCTAATCTTTTGTTAGAGGTTAGAAATGAACATAAGAACATGAATTAGAACAAATACAAGATGTATCCCAACTTGATCTTTACCTTTTCTTAAGTATATATAATACACAATCACTACCACATTCTCTCAATGCAATTGAAAATCTACTTGGGCTACTCTAGGATCTTAATAATCTTCAACCATTGGATAAAGACTCAGATTTTTTATTATATTTATCTCTCTCCTGCTTAAAAATGTGTTGAGTTATTGGCATGACCTACTTAGGTTGGGCCACAGCCTGATTGTGGATCATAAACCCTCAACTAAAAGTTCTGAAGTACAGCCTCTAATTTGTGACTCATTAAAGACAAATACAGCTCATCAGCAAGCTGCCAAACTTCCTGTCCACCTATTTGAGAATGCAGAAATAGGAATATTGTTAAGCTTTGGCAAGTCCAGATTATCTAACTGGTGAATTCTGCTTTCAGCCTGCCAAGTCATATGCTAAGAAGTCAGCACTGCAGAAGTTTGCTATAGAAAGGACATATATCTTAAAATGATATGAGCATTGACATATTATGAACACATTTATATAAAAAAGTACTACCTTAAACATATAATTCCTGTTTTGCTGTAACTTACCACAGGAAGCGGTGGTATAGGAGGAAGAACAGGTAACACCTGCACTTCATCATCTGGGGAACTGCCCATGGGTGTTGGACTAGGAGGCCGCTCAACAGAAGGAGCCACAGCAGGGTTGTTGTTGTTATCATCCTCAGTTGTCTCAGGAGTTTGATTTGAAGTTTCTACATTGATCAACTCCTCAGTTGCAGGAGAAGGTAGTTCATTATCATTAGCATCTGATGAAGGCTCATCAGGAAGAGGAGCTGTAGAAGGTACTGAAATTGGATCCTCAATATTGCCATTTGTGTTCATATTCCCATTATCAACATCTGCCAAGGTACCAATGAAGTCCTGTGAATTACTTGGCTCATAAAAAGGGGCACCTTCTATTCCTCCTGCCAAGGTATTAAAGCGCTGGTATAAGAGTTTTTGAATATTTGGTCCACTGGGGCCTTCTGGTTCTGTAATGGAACTTCGCTTCTTCAAAGGCCTAGGAGCATTGGCAAGTTTCCTGCGAAGAGCTTCTAGATCAGCATCACTTTGGTAACGAAGGGGTGAATGGACAATAGGAGTGAGCTTTGTTGGACTGAGAGGACGAGGAATGTTTTCCACATTGCTGTTATCACCAGAGGATGGAGTGTTTTCCACCTCTTGATCTTTTTCACCATAATCATTTGGCGGTTGAGGCTGTGATGTATTGGCAGGCAAAGATCCTTGAAGAAAGGGCAGTGGTGAAGGAGATGTTGAACCAGACTGTACAACAGGCTTCCCATAGACTGAGAGGAAAAGGTAAGAGAGAGACATTTAAAAGTAAAATGGAATTACATCAATTTAAAATAAAAAATTTAAAATTACTTATGCCAGTGGTTGACTTTGTAACATTTCCCAGTACACATATAGAACCCTCCAACCCCTCCAACAATCTTTTCAGAAATTGAGGTATCCTCAAGAGGAAGAAACTGTAAGGCCAAAAATGTCTGATTATCTTCCATGTTTGATTTATTTTGGCCCCCTTTGAACAGGGCACATATCTATATTTTAGATATAAATATAGAAGACATATTTTAAGCAGAAATCACAACAAATAATCACACCAAAAGGTAAGCACTTCTTAGAAATGAGAGAGAAAGAGAAATTAACAAGTTAATCATTTCTTTTCTCTCCTTGAGGCTAAACAGGTCCAGATACATTTTAATCCTACTTCAATTATCCTTCTAGATCTTCCTTTTTATACTACTTTGAAGTAAACTAACTAAAGCCTCACCAAAGCCTTTTTATCTCATACACATAGACACACACACACACTCATTTCTTTTTGATCTCAGGATCACTGCTAACAATTATTAAAATATTAAACAAATCAAGTTTGATAAGTAATTCCTAAAGAGTTGCAATTTCTAAAGCATTGTCAGAAGATCAAAGCAGCATAAAATTATTCTACCTGCTTTAACTGACTTATTTAGGGTACTGTACACAGCTTGTTGATAGTTCTTTGGTGGTGTTGCTTGCTGCAGATACATTGAATATATGGAACTTGAATTCACAGTTTGAGGCCCTTTCCTAGGAGACTGGGGCCTTGAACCTTTTTCAGCTAAGAAAGGCCTAATGGCCACTGTTAAAGGAAGATCATGCCTGCTATCTCCGCTTGGAAATAATGGTGCATTAGAAGGTTGGTATGTTGGACTTGGAGGCACAGATATTCTTTGCTGTATCTGTTGTGAAGAGCTTGGCTGGTGAATACTGCTTGTGGGTGGTAAAGGAATAGGTCTTTGCCGGTTTGCTGCTGTGGAGCTAGGTCTTGGTAGGCTGCCGTCTTTTCGTCTTTCCAACGAATTAGTAGAACCTGGTCCTGAAGGAACAGAGCTTGGATAGGTCCCATAGTTTTGAGGCAATTGCTTATTCACACCAGGAATAGTTGGTGGTATTTTGCCCACATCAAGACTCTGGAAAAAGAAAAAAAAAGTGTTTAAAAGGCTGGTTGTTATACAGAAAACTAGATACCTGAAATGTAATCTAATGACAAGATGCATAAAATCTTGCCAAGAAGCTCTACAGCACAACATTTTAACAAATGAGTTATACAGAGATACTGTACCAACTGGTGAAAGCAATAATATTTTTAATATTATAGGAAGGAAGGAAGGAAGGAAGGAAGGAAG